AAAGACTGTTAAATATTTTCATGTCTCTATGTATGTTTCAATTCAGTATGAATATTAGTTGAATATTGCTTGCCCAGTTAAAAAACACCTCTGCTCATTTAAAACAACTGACAATTAGCGTTACCTGGACCCAATGCCCAGTAATGCTGTTACAGGGCAGGAGGACAGGGAAATTAAAAAAGTAATGGAGTGTGGTGTTATAAAAATCAATGTGAAGATTGATCATACATGTTTTTGCATATATCTTTATATTCTGTAATTTTAAATAATAGCAAATGATGGCTTTGTGAATTGTGTCAGTTGCTTTTCCAAGCAGCCAGGCTACTCTCTGTCTCAGTCTGTAAAAGAAATATGTAATAGAACTGTTCCAATTTAATGTATTGTTTTCTAATTATGTATTAATAACTGCATTAATGAGATCTCTGCTTTGATAAACTGACAAGTTCTATGAAATGATAAGCTAATGTTATAATGTTGAATGGTGACAACTCAACAGCATTTTTTTAAAAAAAAAAGATATGACCAGTTCCTTAAAAGTCTTACATTGCAATTCTTCGCATGCTTGCTGTGATATAATTCTGACCATTCAGTGGGTTTAACATCCTAGCAAGCATGTCTCAGGATTGCAATCTTAAATTTGCACTTGTTCCAATGAATTAGATGTTGCTACAACTTTTAAACATTCTTAAGATCATAAGAGGAAAAGTTCAGGCTTATTAATTTATAATTAATATTTCAAGAAAATGATTTTGTGCTTTATATGGTCTGAAATTAATGATGTGGTTTAAGATAACAGAGAAAATGTAAACTGCATTATAACTAGATCTTTTATGAAAAGACTCATCCTCCACTTTGGTTTCCCTTGTATCTCCCTCACCAACATGTTAACATCCAAATATTTCAGATCATTTTTGCGATTTGTAAAGAGAAGGCAATTTGATTGCTGAACACCTCAGACTACCTTTTGGATATTTGCGGAAAAGTGCCTGATGTTTTTCCAAACAGAAAATAATCCTTTGTATAAACCCGTACATGTATATGCATTACTTTAATGATCTTGTCCTTCATATGCTATCTGTATGCTGATAAAGGATTCTGTTTATTTGTTATTGTTTGTACTCATTCAGAAATGCAAAGGCATTTAAAAATCTTTCTAATCTGTCTTTACAGAATTATCACGAGAAGAGGCTTTTTAAAACAACTTCTTGGGCATTTTTTTTATTGGAAAGATAATATATTTTATAAAATAAATAAATACTATTTTCCTTTTTAATATATGGGGATCTGAGATTGAGGAGGTATGATTTGGTTCAGGAAGTCATTGCCTGCGGCTCTATTTGCACCCAAATAAATCCCCTGGCTCTGATTCCCAATTCTGCATTCACTCAGTTATGTATGGGATTATTTGTGTTCCTTATCTGCTAACTTTCTCAACAAACACTTGTTTCAGGCTGTAACATTTACCACCCACAACCAAAAGCCAGCAATAAAATGATGCCACTGTAGATTTTATTTTAACGGTGTTACCAACTTCTACAGCTGGAATCTTGGTCTACATTAATTTGGTGTCCTTATTCCAAAAAGTGCCGCTGCTGTAGCTGCGCTTGGAAAAAAAAGAGAAGTTTAAGATGCCTAAATAGAGGTAGCAAGTTGTTCCCATGGACATTGAGTTGTTGACTTAAAGTCTGTTCACTTCTCCTCTGGTATATTCTGCAGCAGAACAGACTTCCTTTTTCTAAATTATCCTCCCCATGGCATTTAAACCAGGAAATTGGGTTTAGTGCCACTGTAAGATATACGTAAACTGAGATTTCAAAACCATTCTCCTTTGCAGTTAAAGGGGAAAATATGCTAATGGTTTTTTTTTAAAAAACCACCAAGGCACTAACAGTAATTAGTGGAATGGGAAAGTACCATTTATCACTAATAAAAACACCTCCTCTCCCAAAGCCAATGGCTAACATAGGACTTCTTTTAAAACTTCTGTATATATGTCTCTGCAGTATTCGTATCATAATAGCAAATCACCATGGAAAATAATGAGACACTCTTTTTGGCAACTCTTTCACCTCCCTTTCTTTTGGGGTGCATCAATACTGCCCTTTCATTGTCATAGGACAGTGGTTCCCAAACTTGGCAACTTTAAGACTTGTGGACTTCAACTCCCAGAATTCTCCAGCCAGCTCTGCTGGCTGGAGAAGTCTGGGAGTTGAAGTCCACAAGTCTTAAAAGTTGCCAAGTTTGGGAACCACTGAGCTGGCTGGGGAAGTCTGGGAGTTGAAGTCCACAAGTCTTAAAAGTTGCCAAGTTTGGGAACCACTGTCATAGGAGATAGTATGGTTTAGCCAGTATAATGTACCATGTTTTCCTGAAAATAAGACAAGGTCTTATTTTGGGGAGATATTATTTTTGAGGTCAGGAGGTGGCGAACATGGTCACCTCATGGCTGCTGCTGTGTTGCAATATTTTCAGGGAGGGCTTATTTTCGTGCATGCGCTCAAAAGCCTGATTGGGCTTATTATCCAGGGAAGTCTTATTTTCAGGGAAACAGGGTAGTACTTGCAATAGTATTTTATATTTCTGTCTCTGCTGCTGGGGAAAATTATGAAGCCTTCGTCATAGCTTCCACACGCAGTCTTAAGAAGAGAGAGCTCTGCGAATAGAATTTGGGGGGTTACATGGACTATTTCTATTCTGGTTTCCAAGAGGCATAGATATAACTGAAGAAAGAGATTCATACTTAACACTTGTTTTTGTTTGAATTCATCTTTAAATGTAAACATTTTATAGCAAGGCATAAGTCTAAAACACCCAACAAAAACAGTAAGTTCAATAAAAAAAGTGTCTCCTCAAAGAATTTTTCCACAATAAATAAAACATCACTTGGTACGCCTGAAAATGCAGAATGAAACATGAAATTATGCTTTCACTATCTACTATAGACGATTTCCAAAATAACAGTTTCAGTTTTGTCACAATATACCGTATCTTCTCATAAAACAATGGAGCCACCTACTTCTGGGGCATTAATCTGTGTTCTGTTCTTTGACATTTTACTTGGGAATTTTTCCAAGTAAACGATTTTTATTATCAACTACCTTCAGCTTTAGCTATCTAGTTAGAGCCTTTGAAGCATATGTGGCCCTAAGAATGCTTCCATTATCTAATACAAAATTGTAATTTTTATATACATAAAATATTAAATGTATGTGACTCAATGTGATGTAATTTTAATTTAACTCAGTTCTGGTTCCATTCACTTTGCTTTGATACCAGGTATTCTGTGGAGTGTGACTCCAACAGACTAGTTAAAATCATAAGACTTATCTCCTCACCCATCCCTAACCAGAGTTTGATATCTAATTGGGAGGAATTCAAAAACTCATGTTAAAAGAAAATATAACAGATATACTTTGTGCCTGCTGTTTTGCAACGCAGAAATTTTTATCATGGCAAATGGGAAATTCCATATTATAAAGTTGGGTTTCCCAACCTTTGCTACTTGGAGAGTTCCCCAACCAATATAGCATTGCTGAGAGTTCTGGGAATTGATGGCTATTCAATCTGAAAGTTGTCAAGAAGACTGAGAATTACTGGTTCATAGGAAGATATAATTAGTATTAATGACACCTTTCTAATAAGTATACTACAGGCTACAAAAACAGTACCATATATACAACAAACATGGACTATGATATAGTGATATTGTCTACTTGCTCTTCTGGTAGTCTGGGTTACTGAGGATATTTTATTACATATTTAATACATATGTATTTAACACAATTATTTTATATGTATAATTCTACACGTACATTTTTTGGGGAAAAAAACATTGAGTCAGGAGTTTAATTTCATCAAAAGTAAAGTCATAGGGGTAGCTATTAAATAATTTGATTGCTTAATTCAAGGCAGTATGCAACTTGAACCTCCACTCTATTGCATTCCAGGTCACAGAATTGCTCTAGCAACAGAAGCTATCAACAGCAGAATATTCTCTCACACCGTCAGTAGATCTAGGAGTGGGAAATGGATACAAATCTATCTCCAGAGAGCTCAGGCCTTTTCATACACAAGCAATCCTTTTTAGCATATAAGAAAAATAGCAAAAAATGGCACACCACAAAGTAATCAGAATCTGACTTAATTGGGATTAAAATAAAAATGGAGTTAGTGAGATGGGGAAGTTCCAGTGTCCTATAGTAGTTAAGAAGTTGGTATAGGACATGTGTCCATCTGGGCCACTGGATCAACTTTGGTCCTGTTATACTGTTTGTCTCAGCTCAGCCTGCACCTGAAAATGTTATTGGCCTTCAGCTCCTGCAGAAAAGGAGAGGAAGATGGGGGGTATGTACGGTATGTATGTATGTATGTATNGAAGATGTTTTGACTGTTAGCTGCAGTTCAGCGGTTCAAATCTCACCGGCTCAGGGTTGACTCAGCCTTCCATCCTTCCGAGGTGGGTGAAATGATGACTCTGTAAACCGCTTAGAGAGGGCTGAAAGCCCTATGAAGCAGTATATAAGTCTAACTGCTATTGCTATTGCTATTTGCATTTGAACGCTATTGCCCAGCTACAAATTTGTTCTAAGCAAACCAAGTCCCCTAAGCGGAGAAAGACTGGACTTAATTCTGCTTTCCAGAAAGCTAGGAAGAATCCCTTCTGAAACGCTTCTCACGCCCCTTTTCTTTCCAGGGGCCAAGATCCCTTTTGCATGACGACTGTCTAGGCTGCAGCTCTTCCTCCTGTCTCCCATTCCCACATATCACTACAGCTACAGAGCTAGATGAATGTTAATCACAATGGGGTTTCAAATGATAGTATCCTATCGAAGCAAGGGAGAATCTCTAAATGTTTTCATCCTGATCTGAACCTCCAAGTTTATTGCCTAGATGCCAATGGGTTCAGGCCCTCTGTATCAATGTTCATCAACTAAGTTGGCACGGGAAAACCTCTGCCAACCTGTGACTGCAAGGGACTTGGTTACAGATGGCTGACATGTTTAGCATTGGTAGGCTTGATCCCAATCCAATCCAAAACAACCCACCACGGCTTTATCCCAGATGATGGACATCCGTTCCTCAGTTCCATTGGTTCCTTGCGGGATCAAAGTGAAATTGTCCTTCCCAACAGCTTTCTGGGCAGTATTGAAAGTACAGTGGCCACTGCCAGTAACCTGGAGATCTCCACTGGAAGCAGAAGACAAGAGTTGCTCTATTCATCAACGACAGAATGACAGAATGACAGCAAAAGCAAACAAACTGCACAATTGCTCACTGCATGTAACAAACTTTGCCCAGGACTACAAATTATTCATCTCTATAAATCACCTCTTTTATTACCAGTCGTGGTATTAAATCTTAGCTTGGGAGGAAGGACTGGAATGTTGAGCCATACATTTTGAAAAGCTTCCCAGGTTCAATTAGTGGTGCCAAGAGGATATATGTGCATAGTAAGACTTTCCTTGATAGAAAGTGGAGCACATTTGCAGCCTACGTCTCAAATATCCCAAACAAATGCAGAGGGGATGAATAAATCGGAGAGGAAAAGAATGTGTGAAGACAGCCTTTTAACACAACAGTCTTGGTCAACTTGGTGCCAAACCCGAGCCATCTGAATGGGACACAGATTTTTTTTCTCCTGCTGTGCCACACATTTTCTGTCAAGAGTTTGTTGCAGCATTCACACCCAGAAAGCACACACAGGTAACTGATTCAGCAGGATTCATTAAGTTCTCTTTATATACAATATCACATGAAGTAAATATACAATACCAAAAGCAGGTTTTCCAATGTTTCCAGTTCAGAGCAGCAGACCACTCGTGAGCTCAGCACAGACTCAGAGCTAAAGAGCTAAGCCACACCCGGGCTCCAAACTGTTTCAGCTCCCATTGGCTGACCTTGTTACTAATCCCTATTCCAGTTCATGAATTCTCTCATACACTGACATTTTCCGTCTTTTGAGATCAGAGTCAACTCATATAAGGATCGTCACCATCTCCAACTCAACTCACCAGGACAGCAGAGAATTGAGGAAGTCCGGAGTAGTCGGGTCAGGACTCAGTGGTGGAGCAGTGACAAAAGCAGCTGCTTTGGCCCAGTTTTTACTCCAGTAATGAGATCCATCGGTACCTAAGCTTGCTGCAATGGGCTCGCCATACACCACAGTGCCTGTTAATCAAGACAGGATCAACAGGACAATTACTGCCAGACTAGAAAGCAACCCACCTTCCCTCTTGGCTTAGTTTGAAAGAAGAACTGGAGAGCAAAGTCAGGTTGTAGGGTGGGGCCATTATTTAAAAGAACGTGAGATTTGCTATCCACCAGGAATCAATATGATGGCAGCGATGCATAAATAATATTTGGTTAATCAACATGCAGGCAAACAAATAAGTGTTGGAAAGTGCCTTATTCAACGCTGATGCAGATTCAAGAATGGTATTTTCTCATGCAGCCCTTGGTGGGACTTGGGCCAAGGCACTGCTAGTTAAGAACCCTTGGGGGGGGGGGAAGGAGGGGAAATGGGAACTTTGGGGTATTGTTCTAGTGTCAATGAAGATATGAACAAAAGATGTGTGGGAAAATGTGTAATTCATTCTCAGTAGGAAGGCTGCCAGACTCCTATTGAAAAAAAGAGGCAGTGAAGCCACTATGTCAGGGGTGTCAAACTCAAAGCCCAGGGGCCGGATCCAGCCTGCGGGGTACTTAGATCTGGCCCACGGGAAGCAGCAAAGGACCGGCTCGCGGTGCTTCTGCCAGTGAAAACAGAGCTCGGGAGCCTGTTTTCACTGGCAGAGTGCTTGGGCCACCACAGGTGCACCCAACAGAAGTGACCTCAAGCTGGCCATGCCCCAACATATTCCCAACACAATCTGAGTATCAACTGTGGCCAGAGGTGGGGTCCTACCAGTTCGCACCTATTCGGTAGAACCGGTTCGTCAAATCTACCGAACCGGTTAGAAGAGGTTCCACCAGTGGACCCGGAAAGCAGGCCACACTTACAGAAGAGGTTCCAAAGTTTTTTGAAACCCACCACTGGTCCTTGGATATGATTATTCTACATTATCATGCTCATATTTATAAAACTCAGTGCCTCTGTGAAAGGTAAGGATGACTACTGCGTTTGTGGTGCAATCAGAACATTGCGTGTGTTGAAGTTGTTTTAACGCAAAACCAAAGATGCCTTTTAAAAAACAAGTTTACATCATATTCTTATGCATGCCAGTGCTGTGTGTGAGGTAATTTAAGGTGGTTCTGACAAGTGTCGTTGGCATCTTCATATCCGGTCACATGGGCAGCAAGCCACTCCTATCCGGTCACATGGGCGGCAAGCCACTCCCACAAAGGAGGCCACACCCACAGAGTACGTTCGAACAATTTTTGAAACCCACCACTGACTGTGGCCCAGTTTGGATTCAATGGGAAATCTTTTTTTCAAGGCATCACACGTAACTCTATTATTATCGTTTGATTTTTAACCCTCTTCCCTTTATTTAACTTAACCCACTTGCCAGCTTTTTTAATTCATGCAACAGAGCAGCTGATGATAAATAAAAGAAAGGAAGGCCTCAGCATGCCATAATTCAGTGACTGCACTCTGCAGAAACACACATTAAGCTGAGGACCACAGATAAGGGTTTATAAGCGCTGTAAAACCTCCAGAGACAAAAACGCTTATCTAATTATTTAGACTGCATCATGTCCTCTTCAACTACTTTCTTGCATAGAGAGGAGTGGGAGGGGGGGGAGAATGGGGGGAAGAAGGAAAAAAACCTTCATCTTAAAAACAGCTACACCTAACGAAGCTTTATTATAAAAATAATAAAGCTTAAACAATACAAGACAGAGAGAATACAAGTGTTCTCGATGCTATTTAACTGGCAATTCCAAGAAGGGTGGAATTGTGGGGAAATATTTTTGCCTGGGACCAATAAAAGAACCTGGCGATGAGCAGCAGAAGTAAATATATGTTCTGAGACTGTCTCACACCTTAGGCTTATTTTTAAACACTTACCATATTTTTCAGAGTATAAGACGCACCTTTTTTTCCTCAAAAAAGAGGCTGAAAATCTGGGTGTGTCTTATACATCGAATAGAGCATTTTTTGCCTCCCGAAGCTCCACCCCTTCACCAAAATGGCCATGCATAGCCTTATGGAGGCTTTCAGAGAACTCCTGGGGGGTTGGGGAGGGCACAAATGAGCAAAAAACTGGCCTTTTTGCCCCTCCCCCAACCCCCAGCAGCATTCTATAAGCCTCCATAAGGCTATGCATGGAATCTTTTTGACAAAAAATGGGACATTTTTGCTCGTTCCCTCGTTCCCACCTCCCCAGGCGCACTCTGCAAGCACCCCAAGGCTATTCATACCTTTTGGGAGGGGGGGGAACGGGAGGTTTTGGGGAGGTTTGCAGAGTGCAAAAACTTTTTTTTCCCTTTTGGAAAGGTCTTTAACTGATTGATGAGAATTACATTGATCAAGTGCTGTGCCAGCAGAAACACCTACCTATCTACTGTATTTCTCTCTATTTCTCTATATATATTCCTTTATCTACCTACCTATCTAACTACACACTCCCTTTATTTCTCTCTCTCTCTATCCCTTTATCTACCTACCTATCTAACTACACACTCCCTTTATTTCTCTCTCTCTCTATCCCTTTATCTACCTACCTATCTAACTACACTCTCTCTCCCTACCTACC